GTGAGGATCATGGGGCTGCTCACCATCTGGATGTTGCGCTGGCCCAGCCGGTTCAGGTAAGCACCGATGCCCACGGACCGGCCTGTGATGTAGGAGAGGGTAAAAGTGTCCTGGTAGGCGCGGCTCGTCTCGCCGGCAATGAGGCCGCTGCCCTGCAGGTTCTCGACGCCAATCCCGCCTTCCGTGCTCTTCATGCCCTCTCCGATGATGGCGTCAAGCACGTAGCGCTCCTCCCCAGCCTCCTGGACCTTGTGCGCCTGCACGGTGCCCGGCGGCAGCTTCTCATAGTCCTCCTTGAGCAGGTAGAGGTACTCGAAGCCTTTGTTGCAGTCTTTGGGATCCAGCCACTGCACCTTGTAGAGGGGCTTCAGCTCCTCCACCAGTCCCACGCGGGCACCGCTGTTGCAGGACACATAAATGCGGGGAACGCCTCGCACGCGCGCCAGCTCAGACGCCTTCTGGAAGAACTGGTCCTCCTTCACGCCGAAGGAGCCCGCCTGGAAGGTCACGTCGTTGGCAATGACAATGATGTCCCGGCCAGCTGGGTACTCAGGCGTCTTCATTGTGAGACGCCAGGCCAGCATGCCCACATCGTTGCTGCCCTCCGGTCGCTCCGTTTCCACCAGCTCCATCTTGGACCAGTCCATGACCAGCTCCTTGGCCGTCAAGATGTCCTTGGGCATGCCCTCGGGCACCGGAGCTGCCGCGCGGCGCGGCGACGGCGACCGCCGCCGCGCGCCTGGCGCCGCGCCAGCGGGCGCTGCGCCGGGGGTGGCCGCGATCCACTTCATGGTCAGCGCCATCTGCAGCATGCCAGGCAGGTCGTAGGCGTAGGTGGAGCCCGCGCGGCGTGCCGCCACGCGCTTCGGCTGCAGCCGCGCCAGCTGCGCCTGGTCCGTCGGCGTGGAAGTGGCGGCGCTGTCCGGAGACTCGTAGCGCAGAGGGTAGCCCGTCACAGGGTCCGGGATCTCCCGCAGCATCTTGGGCTTCAAAAACCCGCCGTGCAGCGAGCTGAGGGACAGCCGCAAGATCTCCAAGCCACCCTTGGCGCGGTGGTGCACCTTCACCTCGATCTCGTCAATACACAGTTTGATGATCTCGGAGCCGCGGTGGCCCACGTGGCTGCTGACACTGTCGGTGAACAGCTGCTCGATCTCGGCCACAGGCATGTCCAGCTCGCTGAGGAAGTGCATGAAGATGCGGCTGGTCACTGTGGGCCCAAACTTGGCCACGCGCGGGTCCAGCATGGCGTGCTCCACCTCCTCCAGGGCCAGGTCCAGGCTTTCGCCGATGCATTGGCTCAGGGACTCCTTGCCCACCTTGGAGAGGTACAGCGCGCGCATCAGAAGCTCCGGGGCCGGAGCCTTGCTGCCCAACATGGGCTGCGTCGCCAAATAGATCTGCGTGGTGGGCCGCACTTCCTTGTGGATGCGCTGCAGCGTGTATTGGCGTTGGAGCTTGGTGAGCTCGAGCATGCCGGGGAAGGAGGGCCACATGTCGCGGCTCAGCTCGTTCTCCGCCCACTCCTCCGTGGTTGGGTCCAGCAAAAACTTGGCGAAGCGGGGGTGGCGCGGCGGCTGCGGGAAGACCACGCAGATCTCCCCGACCCCGGCAGACTTCAAGAGCTCCGCCTTGCGGGCAAAAAGCTCCTGGCACGTCTTGGACGCCTTCTGCAGCTCTGCGTCCGTGTTGTAGAACAAGGTGCGGTCGGTTGTGGGGAAGGCGTCTCGGCCCGCCACAACGTGCAGGAAGTTCAAGGGCACCTTCGACTTCGCATCTTTTGCATCCACGGCCAGCTTTTGCAACTTCTCCATGTTGGCCTCCAGCTGTTGGAGGTCCTCCAAGACCAGCAGCAGCCCATGTCGCTGGTGCACCTCCTCCTGCACGGGGAAGAACTGCGTCCACAGCGCCGACTGGCCATCGATCTCCAGCCTGCTGAGCTGCGAGGGTGCGCTGAGCCAGCCGAGGTAGGCCCGCAGGCCACGGCTCTTCTGGCCATCATAGAGCGAATCCACCAAGAGCTCCATTTCCAGAGATCCGTCCACAGACCCCGGCAGCTCGCCTGCGTCCAGCTTGTCCAGCTTGTCCAGCTTGGCCAACTGCTCCCGAAAGTGCGCGGTGCGCTCCTCGTAGGACTCCTGGGGCAACACGTCCAGCAGCTGCTGCGCCAAGTACCGCACGTTGCCGAAGTCCCCGGCCACCGCTGCGGCGCTGGGCAGCTCAGCCAGCTCGACGATCTTCTGGTGCACCGCGCCCAAGTCGCCGCTGTTGATGTCGGGCACGTACATGCAGGACATGCCGGAGCCCTCGGCCGCGACCATCTCCCGCAGGATGGCCATCACCACCTCGGAGCGCTGCGCCATCTTGTTGTGGGCCACCGCCATGAAGAGCACCTTCTCCAGGCTCTCCTTGCCCTCCCCGATGAGCTCCAGCAGCAGCTCGTCGTAGGGCTGCTTCTTCTCGATCGACTTCGCAAAGGGCCGCTCGTTGGAGAGGTACTTCTCCAGAAGACCCTGCACGCTCTCGGCAGCCTCCTCGCGGTTGGCAAAGGACTCAAACATGGCCTGCACCAACTGCGGGCCCTTCCTGTCCACGCAGTAGCCGTCCAGCAGTGCCTGCAGATCCTCCTGGGCCGGCGCTGCAATCGGGTCCGCGCCCATGGTGAACTGGCCCTCGAAGGGCAAGATCTTCTTCACCTTGGAAGGATCCTTCAGCTCCAGCTGTGCCAAGAGCTCACCGGCCGACACGATGCTGCCGGCGGACAGCGCGTGCCGAATCTTGCCGGCCTCCGGGGACTTCAGGGACATGATCATCTTCATGGCCTCAAGCTCCACAAAGGTCTCGCCCTTGGACACTTCGGAGCCCTCCTCGTGCAAGTACCGCACCACCTTGCCGTTCACGTCCGAGCGCAGCTCGCTGGGGTCGTAGACGGTGGGCACCATCACCGTCTGGGCGCCGACGATGAGACGCAGGCCCAGCGCCTCCTCCTGGCCCTTCACCTGCTGCGAGATCTTGCCCGCGCTCACGTAGAGCGAGCCGTCCGGCTGCTCGCGCACCTTGGCGCGGATGGTGCGCCCGTTGATGGTCAGGCAGAACACGTCCCTCCTCGGGCGCGTCACCTGGAAGGAGAACTTCTGCTCGTTGAAGGTGACATCCAGCGGGAAAGACACCAGCGCGTCCGTGTCGCTCTTGCCCAGCAGCACCAGCTGGCCCTTCTGCATGGAGCTCAGCGCTTCCTGGCTCCGGGACTTGCAGCTGCTGAAGGCGCGGAAGATCGCGGCGTAGAAGACCACCTCCATGGTGCCCAGCGACGGAGTGATGGCCTTGGAGGCGATGAGCCCGTCCAGCCACATGGTGTCGATGGTGTTCTCCTTGTACTCCTTGGTCTCAATGAGGTCCACCAAGTAATCCACGGGGTGCCGGATGTCTCCGGAGATGTCCAAGTTCATCAGGGCGAAGCGCAAGCTCTTCCTGGCCGCCTCTCGGTTCGGTCCCTTGGCAAAGATGTGCCCGAACTGGGAGTCCGCAAACTCGTGGATGCCGCCCTTGAGGCCCACGCTGAAGTAGCCCCAGCAGTCGCCGGAGGACTGGAATCGGATGCTGTTGATCTTGCCGCTGGTGGGCTTGAAGCCCTCGTCCGGGTTCTCCGCCGTGATCCGCGAGGCGCAGCAGTGGGAGGTGATGGGGGGGTAGTCCACCGCGAAGAAGTCGATCTTGGAGTTCTGGCCCGGGTCCATGCCGTAGAAGCGCCGGATGTCCGGGACGTTGTACAGCGGCACGCCCATGGCGATCTGCAGCTGCGTCGCCGGCATGTTCACCCCCGTGATGGCCTCCGTCACCGGGTGCTCCACCTGGAGCCGCGGGTTCAGCTCCAGGAAGCAGAAGGTGTCGGTCTCAGGGCTGTACAAGTACTCCACGGTGCCCGCGCCCCGGTAGCTCACCAGCGCGGTGAGGCGCATGGCGGCGCGCTCCATCTCGTGGAAGACGTCCTTCTTGGCGATGGTCGGCGGACCCTCCTCGAAGATCTTCTGGAACCGGCGCTGGGTCGAGCAGTCGCGGCCGTTCAGCGCCAAGGTGTTACCATACTCGTCCCCCAAGATCTGGATCTCCAAGTGCCGCGCCTTGGAGACCATCTTCATGAGGAAAATGGGGGAGCCGACCACTTCTGTCGAGACGTTGGTGTAGGCCACCTTGAGCTCCTCCATGTTGGTGGCCTTGCGGATGCCCTTTCCGCCGCCGCCCTCAGAGGCCTTGACCATGATGGGGAAGCCGATACTCTCGGCCCTCCTGCAGGCATCTTCCGCACTGGTCACCATGGCCTTGTCGAAGATGTCCTGAGGCACCTCGCCTTCTTCGGTGAGCTGGCAGGTCAGGCCGTCGCCGCTCCAGGGGATGCTCGGCACCTTGGCCGTCTGCGCCAAAATGTTCGCCGCGATCTTGTCGCCCAAGGCGGCCATGACGCCGCTGGGGGGCCCGATGAAGGTGATGCCAATCTCCTTGAGCTTGGCCGGCAGCTTGGGGTTCTCGCTCGCATGGCCCCAGCCAGGCCACACTGCGTCCACCTGCTGCTCCTGCGCAATGCGGCAGATCAGGTCCACGTTGGCGTAGTTGTTGACGTTCTTCCCGGAGGGGACCTCCACAAAAGAGTCTGCCAGTCGGATGAACTCCGCGTTGGCGTTGAGGTCGTCTTGCGTGGCCATGGCCACAAAAGTGATGATCTGCTCGGAGCCGAACTCCGTGAAGGTCCAGCGACGCATGGAGAGAATCGCCTTCACTGCGGCCATGCCATTGTTGGAGATCAGGATCTTGCGGATCACACGCTTGCCCTCCCGCTCCTTGACGTAGGTCGCCAACGGATCAAGATTCATGGCTCGCGGCTGGCAAAGAACAAAGCGCCTGAGAGTTTTGAGCACTGTAACCGCGCAAAAAGAAATCAACACGTGTCCGCATCTGATTGGCTCAGCAATGACCCCGTGGCCCAGCCCGCTGAGGCTCTGGGCCCGCGGGGATCTCGAGCGTGAGCGCGCCAGCAAGGCTCTGGCCTCTGCCAAGGGTGCGTCAGCCTGCCGAGCGAGTTTCGCATGGCCCGCTTAGCCAATGAGCTTCGAAAATCCATTAGAAGCAACAAGGGAGTTGTCTCCGGTCACCATTCAATTAGAAAGCATTGCATTCTATATACCTTTCGTTCTTTTAAGTGAAGCTTGTCATGAAGAGTATAGCTTGAATCCAAGAGTTCCTGCCTCTCAAGCCCACCACGTTGAGCCGGTGGCCATGTCAAGTGTGAAATGATGGACTGATCATTGATGTCATCTAAGAAATCAATCACGTGGCTGCATTGCCTGGCCTCTTGAAACAGCTGATGGCAGTCATCCTCAGTGCACGCGGAAAAATGCAATCAATCCAAATGCATGCCTCGGGCCTATGCAGCGCTTGCCGGGAGAAACGTGCTATCAGCATTTGCCCCCAAACTATACCAAGTTGCCCAGCCGTCACAAGAATGCCGCAAGCTCAGGTGGACCAGAAAAGCCTGTGGTTTTTACAAGTGCTCTACCCGGGGGCCAGCAGCCAACATCCTTCAACAAACCCTTTGTGCAAACCCGAAAACCGCTGCCGGGGCTCCAGGGTCGTCGCCTGGAGCCAGCGCCGCTCCAACGGCGCCTTCGGCACGCCCAGCTGCCGCGCCGCGAGCTTGGCAAGCAGCAGCCGCTCCCAGCCCTCGAGCTCGGAGCTAGGAGCGTCCCCCGCCTCAGAGGCGAAGGCCGACAGCAGCCGCTCCCAGGCCGATGCCATGGCAACCCAAAACCCTTCAGTTGGGGGTCGGTCTGGTTGGGTCAGGTGTCGGGTCTGGGGTGGTGGGAAGGTGATGGGGCTGCTAGTTGCTCATCAGCTCAGTGGGCATCGTGGCTGGCAGGGAGGCAATGATCAAAAGAAGTTTAGACGGACCTTCAGTGGACACTAGTTGAAGGTTGTCAGGCGCACAAGGAAGATGAAGAATGAATGCATGAGTGTGCGAGTGTGGCCTGGGAATAGACATCGCGAAAAGAGTGACCCTCGGCAGGCTTTGGCGTCTCCGGCGGGCTGAAAGCTGCCTTGGTCGCGCCCATGCAGATTTCGCGGCAGGCGGCACTTTTGCATGCAAGGTCAAGTGCAAAGCTTATGGCGGGCACAGCACTTTCACAAGGTGTGGTTTAGATTTTAAGGTAGGCGCAGCACTTTGGCAAGGTCAAGTACTGATTTCGTGGCGCGGCGGACCTTTCGCAAGGTCGGGTGCAGATTTCGTGCCACAGCTAGATAGACAGACAGACAGACAGACAGACAGACAGACGGACGGACAGACAGGCAGGCAGGCAGGCAGGCAGGCAGGCAGGCAGGCAGACAGGCAGACAGGCAGACAGGCAGACAGGCAGACAGGCAGACAGGCAGACAGGCAGACAGGCAGACAGGCAGACAGGCAGACAGGCAGACAGGCAGACAGGCAGACAGGCAGACAGGCAGACAGGCAGACAGGCAGACAGGCAGGCAGACAGGCAGACAGGCAGACAGGCAGACAGGCAGACAGGCAGACAGGCAGACAGGCAGACAGGCAGACAGGCAGACAGGCAGACAGGCAGACAGGCAGACAGGCAGACAGGCAGACAGGCAGACAGGCAGACAGGCAGACAGGCAGACAGGCAGACAGGCAGCCAGGCAGCCAGGCAGGCAGGCAGGCAGGCAGGCAGGCAGGCAGGCATAGATTAGATACACTAGATACAGATTATAGTAGATTAGATTCGCGTTGATAGGTAGATGAATAGATAGTTATATGGCTAGCTAGCTTGATAGATGGATAGATGGATAGATAAGATCTGCTTAGCTAGATAGCTAGATAGATAGATGATAGATAGATGATAGATAGATGATAGATACGACAAGAGAAAGAGAAATAACAAGACGGAGGAAGATAAACATGCGATCTGCGCGAAGCATTTTTCTCAACAGACAGGCATTCAGGTGAAGAGAAAGAAAAAGAGAAAGAGAAAGAGAGACAGCGAGAAAAATGCGAACAGGAAGGAGAGAAAACAAATCAGGAAGGGCGAAATAACTATAGTTCGTATGTTTTTGAATCTTCTGCCAGCGGGCTTTTCCAGCTCTTCTCGTACTATGATTCTACACAGGTGCAACTATGGACAAAACAGCTAGCAACGTTGAATCACTTCTGCAGCCAAACAAGCAAGCGGCGGTTGCGCAAATACAGCCACCAAAGGCCCTTGGAATGCACACTGCACAATATCACTTTCCAACTCAGCACCTTGTTGGCAGAATCTGGCGCTTACACCACGAACATCTTGCTGCTCGACAATTTCTAAATGCATTCTCGCGCGGATCGTCGCTCCTCGCAACTTTGCACGGCTCGAGCTATCATCTACAAGCACGAGGAGTCGCAGACGAGTCAGGGGCCATCAGCAGCACGGGGCTACACTTAGTTTGCCACAAGATAGGAACTCCCCTTGGGAATCGAGCGGCCCCTTCTGCAAAAGTGAGCCGGGGCCAATGCCCGAAAGCTCTAGACGATTTCGTCCGAAGCGAAGTGAAACCCTTGGTCACTTGGAGACGCTTGACGTCCCCAACCCTTGCTCCGGCCAGTCAAACTCAACGCCTTCCCACAAGAAAGTGTACCCAAAATGGAACCCTGGTAAGTGGAAACATGGACAAAACCCTGCGGTCCCCTGGTGGTTTAATTTTGACCCATACCCATATGAAACATGTGGCATTTGGGGCGTACGGGATGCTTTCTGATACACTACCGTGCCAAAGCCTGGCCTGTGCCCAAGGCGCGCGGGACTGCGCATGACATGCATTGCTGTACAATTGCACTCGTGTGGTTCCACATGGTGCAAACCTGGAAAGAACACGTGCTTAAGCGGAGCCTGATGCAGCCATAGAAAAGGCTCTCCAAGTACACTTAAATGTCCTGTCGTTTGCCAAACTTCGGTCAAGGCTACTCGCTCCCGTGTGGAAGCATGCGAAAACCAATGGCTTAAAAAAAGAAGCATATAGAAATGCTAAAATTGCTTGAACTTGTTGGGCCTTATAACGTGGGTACCTGATAGACAACGCCCCGTGAAAGCAACTTGTGAGTTACCTGCCAGTGCACTTTGCCCAAACATGCTGTCTCATGGCTGGCTTTGCTATCCGCTTTTGGTGCTCGTCAGCGCTGAAACATGGATACTGTATCTCAAAAGGTTAAGGATCCCAACTTGCATTCTTGATCTGCTCTGGTTTCATCTAAAAGTCAGGCGACACCGCTTTGAGGAGATTCCAAGTTGAGCCTGGCCGTCCAAGGCCATGAATTGCCTTTGATCCCTCCTGTCACAGCGCGATGCGATGGCACGGTGCTGACACCTGGCATGCGTAAAACAGTTAGACAGTCTCTGGTCTGCAAGCCACCGACAACCATGTCCCCTCTCGGGGACAAGTACTCGCTTGACTCTACCAACTTCTAAGCAGAGTGGCTCTTCCTGCCTGGCGATCATAGCTCGATATCAGCTCCAAGCTGCAGCAGCTTTAACCTGCACCAATTGTCTCGGTGGCTTCACCCTCCGCATTCTGCGCAATGCTGGGATCAAGACTAATTATCGGCTGAATCCAATCCGTCGCGCCTCAAGTTGGCAGTGTTCGGCGAGTCGATCTCGTCGGGGATCTGCCTACGCGCGAATCGGCGACCGGCCTGCATTGGATCGACAAAATAGCTCAGCTGGTCCTTTCAAGGTCCGACCCACATCCTGCAGCTTCCAACAGGGCCTTGATTTGGCTTCGGAGATGGTACGGTCCATCAAGGTCATGAACGATGCCAGCGAGTCCTGCAAAAGCTGTTTGACCCGATGATGTTTGTCCATACGTCAAGAAAAGAAAGCCTCTGAGTTCAATCTGCTGACAGCGTCAAGTGTCAATCCCTCAATCACTCCTGCTCGTAATTGGCCTGCTTGGACAAATGCGCAACGTTCTCCTGAAGCCTTTGCTCGGGCCGAAGCTGCAAGGAGCAAGATCAAACACTGAGCCTACAGCACCTTGCAAGATCACGGAGCGCGCAACCAACCGGGTGCTTCCATGGCTCCAAGCATCAGCCCAGGCTCCCGGGCGTGTTGGCCAAAGTCGCATTGCCAGCGAAAGCTGCATTTGCCTTGGCTCGCTCGTGCGAAGGGCGCAGATTCACAAGAGCACGCAAAGGTGGTTGTTGTTGTTTCTTGAAAGGGTGTGTCAAGACATACGCAAGAGACATTTGCTCAAAAGACACGTGAATGACATACACATGAACAAACAAACACAGGCTCAATAGTCACTATTCACCACCATTTGGCGCTTGACTAATCGGGTACACTCGCCAAACCTTCACTCTGAGAAGGGTCACTCATTCACGTCAGTCGGCAAAGCAATACAGTGCGCATGGGAAATAGGGGACCCCAACATGATTGGCGTCATCTTGGTTTCCCTTTAAACCCACCCTTCGCCTCATCTTTTTGCTCCCCACCGCTGGGCTGGCGGCCAGGGCGGCCTTCACGGCGGAGCTGGGGCCTAAGTCCGAGAGATGAGCACATTGGACATGGAACGGTTCTATCTCTTTAGAAATGTACCCTGACTGAGGGGTCCTGGAAGATTTTGCTTTAAGAGAGACCCCCTGGAGTCCATGTGAGTGGACTGGAGGGTAAAGGGGCCAGTTGGAATCTGTTGGGAGGTCCGCTAGTGACCAGTCGAGCATAGACGCAAACTTCGCATCCATCAAAGAAAGATCTCCTCACATGTGCTTTGGCTGGTGCACGCAGGGTTGGTTGTTGGCTCACGCAACACAACTGACCTGAATCGACGCCACGAAACTGGTGGCGGCGCCGCGCATTGCGCTGCGGTCGTTCTCGGGAACGAAAGCCTTCCATTACAAATGTGGGGTCAAACTGTTTGCTTGATCCGTTCAATCGTCTACTTGTGCTCCCTGTTGTATTGCAATGGGCCTGGTGCTGGCTGCACTCTGAGCTGCGGGCGGCTCTGCGGTCGGCTCTGTGGTCGGCTGCTGGAAGGGCGACTGGTGGGCCGGCTGGGCGGGCGGCTGCCCGCGCGGCGGTGCCCACTTTGGGGTCGCTTGGCCTGGAAAAAAATGCAAAAGCTTGAGCTGATGAGCCTTTCCTTGAATCTCTCTCTCTCTCTCTCTCTCTGTTCTGTGACTCCACATCAATGGATCTCCGCTTCACATCCGTGCTCAGAAACATTTGAGGTCATAGCCTGCAGTGCCTTTGAAGGAGTCCTCTCTTCCTTCTCGGCAGCCTGAATCGAACGCAAACACAACGGGTACACGCAACATCTGGGTTCGCAGCTTCATTGGGCCAGGCGAGAAGAAACAATGCAACAAAGTCCGTGCACCATGCTCGTAGATAACATGCCGAGAAATGTTACCACTGCCCAAACAAGCTCGGCGCCAACCATTGGGAGAGTGGTTTTTGTATGCGCCTTCTCATTCTCAGCCTTCTCGGCCTTCTCAGCCTCGGCTTTCTCGGCCTCGGGCTTCTCGGCCTTCAAGGGCAGTTTTGTGGATGGCGAGTCTCGGCAACTCTCACGCCTGTGGCTTATCGCGCTCACCTTTCGGTCCTTCAGGCCTTGGCACATGTCAACTTACGGAATTCCTGAGGAATTTCATTCATCCGAACATTGCTCTCCTTGCTGAAGGCTTTTTGTGTTGGTTCAGTTGGAGAACAAGAACATTTGCTGACTGCACATTAGCGACGCTAAGGTTCAAAGGTCTCAGCCGCCAGTGTGCTCTAGGC